TCCTATATTTTGTAACTACATATTTTGCACTCATTTTTCTTAAGAAAATCATGTTTTACAGCAATGGCAATCTGGTTTTTCTTCGATTATGATTACAGTAAATAATTTCAGTGTACCTGTAATGTACTATATGATTTTAGAAAATAAGAACCTATTTTAATTTTCTTAGGCTAAATAGGTTCTTGTTTATAGGGGGTATAAATGGCAAATTTTTAGGCTAATAGGTTCTTAATTTTTAGGTTCTTACTTGCAGGTTTTTACTATAGTGTCTCGAAGCCAAGAGAAGATTCCTGTTTTCCACTTAAAACACTTTATTGGTCTGTGACCTAACTTTACAGTGGTATCTTAAACTTTTGAAAACCTGACTAAATCTTACGATCTCGAACCTCATTATAGCAGTTGATTACGTCATACCTATTTTAGCAGTAAGAAAATTCTACAAAAGTAGATGCTAACGATGAGATATCCTTAAAATAACCCAACAGAATGTTCTGGAATAAGGAGAAGTTTCTAGCACAGCTTATAAACATCGTGATGTGGTAATCCAATGTTATAAATTGTTCTCTTGATTTCTGGAAACTTTGTCACACATAGAAACTTATAAAGAGAAAATATGAAGATGAATATCTTACCCAGCCAATTTTATACCAGAAAGTGTGCCCTGACTTGAGGGCAACTACAGCTCTCCCCTCTCCCCTGGCCTTCCCCCTCTCCTTTACAGCTTGAATTACACTTAGTGATTATGGTGCATTAGTATTTTTAAATAAATGCAAAATTAGTAAACTTTAAGTTGTCTTGTAACATAATGTCCTAATGTACAGAAGAGCATTACTGAACAATAAAGAGTGCTTATTACTTTCCATGGGTAATTGATAGATGAGGTAAATATTTTTTGTTATTATTTACAATAATGAGCTTTCAATAATGTTTACTAGGTTCATGCAACCCTGGAAGTCCTCTCACTAATAATTATCTTTGCTGGACTTGCTGTAAAACTGAAATGGCAGGGAGGAAAACTTTTCTTCACCCATAAGAGAACATCTCTCAAGGTAAAATACAGTCATGCGTTACTTTCAAAATTAATTAATTGGTATAAGCAGTCATTTTCCATCACAGAAGGTAGATAGAGGGTGTTTCAATTTAAAATATTAAAAAACAATACCAAACTAATTACAGCAGGCGGTCAGAAAAATGGAAAAAATTACCAGAAGCCAATCAGAACTTGAATTAAGAACAAACAAAATTCTCGGAGGATGGAAGTATAAAATTGCAATTGGTTGAAGTTTTACATCTAGTCGACTGAGAAATTTTCTGTTCCAATCAATGCTTGATTAAAAATCTCTTTATCTGGACAAACTGGGTGTGGATGTTTAGCAAGAGAGTAGCACCATCACATAATTAGTGACAAGAGATTTGAGACTCAATACAACTTGGATGCTCTTTTTCAAAGGGATTCTTACTATCTAGAACTCCCTTAAACCATTATAGATCATTGTTCATCTGGCTTATGCTTTTTTGCTTTCTAAAATACCAATCCAGTTAACATGTTTACTCAATTCAAATGTTTCACTTACCATCAGGTTATTATCTGGTGTGTGGTATTTGTAGAAGCCATTGTGGTGCTGGTGAGAAGGGAGAATCATTTCCGAGTGACAAGGTCTCTAAGACCACTCTTTCTCATTGACACACATTACTGTTATGGGGTGAGAAGGTGAGTCTCAATCTTTATGATAAGATTGTTACTGTACAGTAACTGTGGTTTGTTTTGATAAAGTTATTGTTTATTGCTCTTACCTCAGAATTATCAATTGTGTTAAAAAATTGGTGATTGAGAATTAATCCACCAAATTCCATATCTATGGTGAAAAGCTACCAATCTCAAGGGTAGATGTCAGGGGAGGGATCAGTTTTGGTGTTCACTAGCTGTTTCAGGGCTATCGACCAGGCTACTTCTGGGATCATCCTATAGAGATTACCACTCTCTTTTCTCTGTTACCCCTGTTTGGGAGTAGTGACATATCCTGATGACATAACCAAAAGACATTGGCCTCGTGTCCAAGGAACTTTTGGAAAGTTCTTATTAAATAAAGGTCAGATGAGGGTGTATGATAGAGCGTTGCGTTGGTAATCTTAACAGCACTAATTGAATAATGATGAAGATGATGATAGAGGCCAAGAGTAGTGTGTGATTCCCCCCCCTCCCTCACACACACACACACACGCACGCCTTGGCAGAGTGCTTCTATCAATTCAAGACAATGGCAGGTCCATAGCTTTTCTGACTTTGCTTCCAAATATAAGAATGAGATTCAGTATTTTTGCTTTTAAATTTCAGGGTTCTCAGACAAATTTTACTTTCACTTCCCCCAATCCTGGACATGCTTTTTTTGTTGTTGTTTGTCATGGTAATCTTTGCTATGTTAGGTAAGAAATACAAAAAACTTAATCAAAGTGTGTGCTTTAGAAATCTTATTTTAGCTTTTATCTCATTCAATAAAGGTATTTGATAAAGAGATTTTACTTGTTTGATTATACCAATTTTTTTAGATCTACTGTAGAAGAATAGCCAGACCTTTCTTACAGGTTGTGTACAAATGATTGGTGCATTTGTCATAGCTGAACTACTAAATTGCAGAATTAGTATTCAAATTAGAGCACCTGTAGTTAAACCTTTTACACTTGTGAAGAGTAGCTTAAAAAAATGTCTGGTTCCTCCTTGGAATTGTAAAACTTTATAATTTCTAAAATTCCATCAAATACTAAAGGAAAATTCATTACCTGACAAGGGAATTCTACTTTAAAATGCACATGGAAACCGACATTGCATATATTGTGAATTGATGATTGTAGTGTCGGTTTTAAGTCAGATAATGGATTTTCCTTAAATCACATATTTGAATAAAAATAAGAAAAAATGGAAAACAGCAGTAATATTGCCTGTTTTTATCCTGAGTGCAAAACAAGAGATGCAGAGCAATATCAGTACATAGCCATGCATTCAACTCACAATTCCACCCAAAATACCTTGCTTTGTCAACCAATCAGAATATCTTTTAGAGGTGGCGAGACATATTAGCTCAGATCTTGAATTCAATTTATTAAGGAATGTTTCACTCCAAGTCTCTCTATTTCTCACAGGGTTTTATCTGTTTTCTGACAATGAAAAAGATGAGGTAATTTTATTTTGTATTAGCAAAGATTTACTAATATATAGACAGGTAAAAACGAGCGATATAATATCCCGACGTTTCGGCGACTTCATGACGCCTTTATTTTATTTTGTTACTACAAAAACTTATTGAACATGTTGATATACTTGATAGATCAAGCTTCTTTCACTATTATTACTCCCAGGTCACATGCTAGCGGATTATTTAATTTAGGAAAACTTAATCACTAATTATCTCTTTTTTGCAAAATTAGTCTTTCAGAAGCTTCTGGAGAAGTTTTATCAGCTTATTTGTGTTACTTACAACAGCAAAGTAGGTGAACTTAATGTTATTCATGTGTTAAGAGAGAATGACTTTAGTTCCTTGAAATATTCTCACTCTCATTAATTACACTAAATTTATGAATTCTATTCTACAGTTATCCTGATGTGATGATGCCAGCATATAACAGATCCCGATGGTCTGTTATCTTCTTTGTTATATACATTGCAGTTGTTCTTTACTTCCTCATGAATCTGGTAAGGTTTCAAAAGACTGCAATACATATAAATTGTAGCACAGACATACATCAAATTGTTGTTGATACATATCTCCACAGGCCTCAACCAATCTGTCAATTGTATATTAATTGCCTCTCAGTTGTCTTTACTTGTTCCTATTAAACCTTTAACCTCTAAGACTAGGATCTAATTTCTCCATACAATATCACCCCAGTCTGAGTCAAATTGAGGTCATTAGAATAAAGGAAATGATTGTGAGTTCAGGAAGCTCTTGACTATTAAGTAAACTATCCTTTTAACCACCATTAGAAACATGTAGAGAACAGTATGGAGAACTATGGAAAGGGGTAACCCTTTCACCCCCAGAAGTAACCAATCAAATTGATTTTTCCTAAGAAATATCTTTATAGTGTCAAACAGGCAGGAAATAAGAGTAAAAATTACAGAAAAATATTGATTAGGGGATGTCTTTTCATTTTACCAGCCAGACCATAAATCATTCATTTCTTTTTCATAACAAAAAGTTTTGTACCGGTAATTTTTTCTCTTTTTAATTTTAGCCCTAACCAATTTTATTCTAAGTAGCCCATGATAGTAATATAATGCTTTCTGCCTTTGACATTGCAGCTTTTGGCTGTGGTGTATGACACCTTCACAAACATTGAAAAGAATAAGTTTAGAAAACTCTTTCTTCATAAAAGGTAAGAAATTCTGTAAAAAAAATCTGTTGAATTCAGCCCAGTGTACGTAGCTAGATGGACTTAATGATCTGAACTCAATCCCATTCACAAGATGATAAGTTATCTCACACTGTAGAGCCCTGAACTGCAGTGCAGGAGGTCAAGGGTTCAAGCCACAGAGCGGACCAACACTCAGGGTCTTAAAATAACTGAGGAGAATGTGATGCCCCATCCTCGGAGACCCAGGTGCTGAGTCGATTTCAAGTTAGGCTCTTCATGCCCTAACTTGAAATCGACTCAGCCCCAGGGTTTCCGAGGATGGTGATGCCCTTGCTATGACATCTGCAAATGGTTAGAAATTCTAGTCTTCTTGGATAAGGATGAAAAACCATAAACCCTGTCTCCTGCTTCTCCTTTGTACTGGTTAGCAGGAGACGTTAAAGAACCCACACACTTATCGCAAGAGTAGGAAATGTAGCTCACGGTGTTGTGGTCTGGCCTTCTTATTGTTTAGACAGGCCCCCATTTAAGACAGCTTTGAGCATAACTGGGCCAGCTTGCCTAAATATCGTTTATATATATGGTATTACATACAAGATCTCTTTCTTTTCCCTCTATTCTCCTTCTCAAGGGTCTGGGTAAGGAAGAGAGGGTTATCATAGATCTTGGGAAACTGACTTACCCAAAGTACACAAAGTTTCTCAGACTTACAATGTTTATTACAGTCTTGACTGGCAGTTTTTTTTTTCCTTTAAGGCAGGGTGTGAGAAAAGCTTACAAACTTCTCCACTCTGAATGTGTAAGTTATGAATAAGCTAGTAAGGTATCAATCCATTATAATTAACTAATCCGTAATTAAGTCAGTCAATCAATTGGGCTGTTTTCTTTCTGTCAGTGGAGCCATGAGCCAGGAGGCACGTGGGCCATGAGTCAGTTGGCCAATAATTTAGGAATTAGGTAATCAATCTATTGGCCTGTGTGTTTGTCATTTAGTCACTCAATCATTTACCTGATGTATTAATTTAGTGAAAAATTCCACTTTAAAATAACTAAATAAATATATCAAAATTTAATGTGATAACTTCAGTCTTGAATGGTAGTTAATGTTATTAATTGAAGATAAGGAATGGTTTATCCATCAATAGTAAATTTGCTGTCACAACAAAATTAATTCAGATGGTATAAAAATTAATTATTTTATACTTTTTTTAATAGCCTCCGCATAGGATCTCCTGGGATACTTTCAAAGGCTTGATGTCATATTACAAACCCAAAAGGAGTAAGTGCTTTTACTTCTAGCTCATAAATAAGTATTGTGTTCAAAGTGTTGATTACTTTTCATGATTCACAGTTAACTATAATTATGTTTTTTTTCCATTGTTATTAGCCGTCAGTCAATAAGAACCCAGGATTGTCGCAAATCTTCCTAAGAGCAGAGAAATGCACCTCTTGCAGCATTAATAATATTACTTTTTCAACAGCTGACTTGGAGAAATATCTTGTTTTCAAGTCACTAAATACAAGTCAAACTGGAGAACTGAGGTAATGTTCTCTTTTAAAATGCATTATTTGTAAGTTTTTCTTGAGATCTGAATTAGTCATTCGTTTTTCAGCTTATTTAGTCTGAAATTTGTTTTCTCTCTACACCCGGTACCTTTGTAGCTTCATTGTGACTCCACATGTATACTTACTGGTAATTATTAACTTTTATTTCTAGCCTGGATGAATTTTACAATGTTTTTGAAAACAGTCAGATGAAGTGGAAGCGGGTATGTGCCTATTGTTTCATCAAAAGAAATTGAAGGACATTATTTTTGGCAAACACGATTTGAAAACCTGCTATAACTGCTGTGAAATCATTTCATGATTTATCTCACATGGTTTCTGTTGTTGTTTCACTTAAGGTAACAGAACATTACAATCAGTGGTTCAGCTGTTTTAAGTCATGTAACTGTTTGTACCGCACACTCAAAGGTAAGAATTACATGTAATACCCTGAGGGACACCCTGACGCCTCTTTACACCTCGTCAGAAAAAACCGGCAGCTAATTAGTGAACGTGTAAAAGAGCCTCTTGTTGCAACGATCAGATCAACCCCGATGAAGGCACTGGACAGGAGTGTCGAAACGTTGAGTCGATGAATTGTAATTTCGGTTACATTCATTAATTCTTTAAACCAGAATAGCTTCAAACCATGTCTGATTGTCCACCTGGTTGCTGTGTGGACTTAAATATAATTAATACCCCTGTTCAGTGTACTTGAACTGTCTTTTTTATAGCGCTCCTCGATTGAGTGTCGTAAAACCAAAACCGAAGAAATTACAACCGCTAATCACAAGAAATGAAAATGCTCTACAGTGCTGATGAGAACTCAAAGTGAAAACAAGCAAACCGCCTAAAGCGCGGGAAAGCGCTGGAATGTGCGGGAAAACGCGGGTGACCATGTCGCGATTGGTTTGAGTTTTGAATCTGATTGGTTGAGGAAGAGGCGCGAGTTTTTTTGGATCAATCACCTAACGAAAGGAAGCAAAACTAAACCAATTCCGAATTACTTTCGACATTCTCAATTGAAAATTGCTTTATAGGCGAGGATTAATGGTTAAACTAAGACAGGGAAGATCACGACTATGTAACAGTTGATTTTACCTCTGGTCCCTTTGTCCTTTGATAGCTCAACAATTGTATCTTTTTCTTTCTCGGTTCTGATTGGTTAAAATGAATGCAGTTTTCAGTTAATTCAGTGCAGAAGAGGGTTAATTCAGTGCAAAGAAAGAAACAAACCAGACATTCTGATTGGTCAGAATGATTGGTTAATGTCAATGTCAAGGTCAATGTCGAGGTCGATGTCAAGGTCAATGTCACTTGCAGAGTTTGAATAAATTATTTTTGCACATGATGCGCGC